CATCACAAACCATACGGTGTATTAAGTTAAATCAATTCTCCTAGTTTCTAAACATCACAAACCATACGGTGTATTAAGTTAAATCAATTCTCCTACTGTTCAATTCCAAACACCGACGCGGTTAACTAGTTTATCTAGTCTCTACCTTGCTCTAAGTAATTAACCTAATTACTATTTTTCCATTTCAGACCTCTATTCATTCTCTTGAGAATAAGATTCTTTGTTTCAGTCGCATGCATATGAATTTATCTTCACAAGCTTTACTTGTAAAGTAAGAAAATAATACTCAAGAGAATGACATAGGGATCTGCATTGAGAAAACAGTGGCCTAGTAGTACGATTCTTACCTGAAATGTCATCTTTTGGCCGTTTTTCAACTTTGGAAGAGAAAAGAGTGTGTCCTGAAAATAAGGAAGAAAATATCTTCCTTACTATGTTATGTAGTTAAAGTTTAAAGTTTAAAGATTAATTTAATGATGTAAGGTCTGGTCATGGAATGTTGGTGTAAGTTCAAATGTTAATATAATAATGATTATGTCACGTCTCAAGTGCTAATTCAGCACACTTGTAACATTCTCACCGTAGTACTCTTTTCCACTATCGTATTTGTCTTGTTAACTTGAACAGYTCGTCGAGTCACTGTGTTCTGGTTAGAACTCGTTATATCTAGAGTGCCGACGCTGTATTTGATGTCGTATCGTTTGACTGCGCTGTGTTTGAACAGCGGCACCTCCCATGAAAAGCTGGTTACGTTTGTGTAGTTGAATGGATGATTTTCATTATGGGTAAGATTTCGGACTGCCACAAGATCTCTTCTTGGATCTAAATGAAATATACACACGTCAGCAGTCTCCATCTTAATTCTATTCACGTGATGGAGATGATTGTCCCTTGACGAGATTGATCGTCACGTGATAAGGATGATTGTCATGTGACGAGGTTGATCGTCACGTGATGAGGATGATTGTCATGTGACGAGATTGATCGTCACGTGATGAGGATGATTGTCATGTGACGAGGTTGATCGTCACGTGATGAGGATGATTGTCATGTGA